GAGAGGTGGGGGAGACTGACTGACTGACTTTTGGCTTCACACAAGCAAAGCAGCATAAATAGCGGAAGTCTTCCTTTCTCTCCCCCAAACTCCACCAGAAATGAATCTTTGCTGGTGCAGCTTCTTAGAGCAAGATGCCTTGCAGGGTCCTAAAGACTCATTTCTGACAGAGTTACGGGGGAGAGAAAGAAAGGCTTGCTGCTTTCCTTACATGCAACCAAAAGCAGAAGAAGAAAGAAGTGGAAAGAAGCAGCCCGGGTGGCCAGGTGAGGCATGTGGGGTGAGTGGGGCAAGTTCCCCCCCTCTTCCCTTTCCCCTTCCCCTCACTACCTTGTTCGCAATGCAACGACTTGTGTTCCCATGGGCCATGTGGGCGGCACAAGCCTTGTGTTCCCGTGCAGCCTGGATTAATTGCTTTGGGGGGTGCTTTGGGGGTGACATTTTTCTGCAGACCACCAAAATTTTCTCATGGACCACCAGTGGTCCATGGTTGGTGACCCACTGGTCAAAAGGGTAAATCTGTGTTTCCTTTCCCATCTCAAATTCATTTGCAAACCAAAATTCCTATCACCCATCAGAATATAATGTTTTAAATAGAATATTCTGGGAAAATTGCATCCAGTGATCATAAAAATTAGGATGCTTCTAGAAATAATCCAGATGTTCATGTATGCCAAGCTTCATGCTCCTAAAATATATGCATTAATTAATATGCACCATGATATTAGAGAATGTTCAAAGTTTTTTTTAAAAAAGAGCAGAAAAGTACAGCTCAACTAAATAAAGTAGTCTAATTACAACAACATTTAGAAAATAATGTATTGTCCTGGAGATAAGATGGTATAAGTCCCTCCAGAAGTACAGTCAAGGCTTTGATTAAGTATTGTTATTGTAGAAGTAATGATAGAATTTAGCCTCAGACATTGCAGTGAAGGTTGTGGGGAGCCAAACTCTTGATGAGGTATAATTGCCAGCACATTCATGGAAATATCCTCTGGTTTTTCTATATATATTTAGGCTCTCATGTGTAACTGTTAAGATATAAGGATGTTCCTTTGGGACAAATGATTTATGGAATGGCTTGAAATGTGAGATGTTTTGTGTAGCTCAATGGTTGTTCCATTTGACATAAGAAAGCTTTGTTTGCAAGGGTTAATAAAAAAATGAGATGAGGGCAGCACCATTAGAAATGTGGGGCACAACTTAAAGGTGAATAGAAACATGGACCATTCTTCTTGTTGTGCCATATCCATCATTGGACATTAGTGATCATGTTGGTGATCCTATTTTTATCAACAGCCGCATGAAAAAGTGCTGCTGAGTTTTGTCCAAACCAGTCCCTTAGATGTTGAAGCCATGATGTTCTTCTTCTGCCTGGGCCTTGTTTGCCTTCAATCTTTCTCTGGAGGATTAAGTGAAGTATGCTGTATTTTTTCTGGTGTCGTACTCTAACTTTACTTGGCTTTCCCAGGTGGCTTATCACCTCTCATTTTTTTGTTGACCATTCTTGTTGGACAAAAATGGGCATAAGCCAAGCAGAGACTACATTACTGGATTGATAAAGTACAGCCCATGAGATGCAAGCTGTCAGTGCCTAACAAAGACAGAACTGTAGTAATTGGAATGTACAAATATCCCATAATTAGGCAACCTAGCAGAAAAGCATATTTTGTTTTTCAATAGGTAATACATTCCATGTACTGTAAAAGTTTCTGCAGAAGATGAGGAAAGGTTCTCCATATTATTTTCCCCTATAATGACATAAAATGTTTAATCAGTACTGTTTTTAAGAAAGGACTATTGTATAGTTCACTCTTTAGGAAAAAAAATCTGAGAAAAATGCTGTTTTTGCATGCAGAGCAGCCAAAGCACAATCAACAAGCTGAGAAGGAACTCCAAATAGATTGTTTTTAATGATTCACATTGCTATAATGGATCTGGATTTTATTTCTGAATCGATTCAAACTTGTTATAACTGGCAGCTGTAACAAATAAAAAGCTTATTTACTAGAGTCCTTTTCCTGCCACTTCCTACATGAAGTGCAAGACATATGACATAGCCTTGTAAATCACTACAATATTTGAGCCAGGGATATGTCTGCATTTCTGAGGCTATAGAAGACCTGGAAAATAAGTTCTTGACCTCATACATGGAGGATTTTTCTGAAGTTTCCTTCATTTTTTTTTGTCTCCTGAATGATATTTATATGGTTATTTTATCTGTACAGTCATGATTAAGAAGCTTCAACATATAATCTTTTTTTTTTTAAAAAAAGAAAGTGTTGCAAAACATTTATGCACATGGCTGCATATATAATGTGTATTTGTCAAGTTGAGAATAGGTAGAAAACAAGATAGAAAAGCCAACACAGTTCTAGGCTGCATAAACAGAGGGATAGAATCAAGATCATGTGAAGTGTTAATACCACTTTATAATTCTTTGGTAAGGCCACACTTGGAATACTGCATCCAGTTTTGGTCGCCACGATGTAAAAAATATGTTGAGACTCCAGAAAGAGAGCATAGAAGAGCAACAAAGATGATTAGGGTACTGGAGGCCAAAACATATAAAGAATGGTTGCAGGAACTGGGTATGTCTAGTTTGATGAAAAGAAGGACTAGGGGAGACATGATAGCTGTGTTCCATTATCTCAGGGGTTGCCACAAAGAAGAGGGAGTCAAGCTATTCTCAGAAGCACCTGAGGGTAGGATAAGAAATAATGGATGGAAACTAATCAAGGAGAGAAGCAACCTAGAACTACGGAGAAACTTCCTGACATAACAATTAATCAGTGGAACAACTTGCCTCCAGAGCAGAGGTGGTATTCAGCAGGTTCTGACCAGTTCTTGAGAAACGGTAGCAGAAATTTTGTGTAGTTCGGAGAACTGGCAAATACTACCTCTCCTTCCCCTGCCACTCCCACCAAGCCACAGAACCAGTATTAAAAAAAATTGAATACCACCACTGCTCCAGAGGTTGTGAATGCTCCAATACTGGAAGTTTTTAAGAAGAGATTGGATAACAATTTGTCTGAAGTGATGTAGGGTTTCCTGCCTAAGCAGCGGGTTGGACTAGAAGATCTCCAAGGTCCCTTCCAACTCTGTTATTCTATTCTAAAATATCTCTAGACTAAAGTTTCCAAAACAAAAAAAATAAAAATTGTATGAAGAGTTGTAGCAATACTCTCTCCTTTGCATTTTCTTCTTAGTGTTCTATTTGACATCTTGGATTTTTGACCTTTTATTTTAATTACCATATAGGTATAACTGTAATTCTTTTTGCACCATTCTATCTCTCCAGCTAAAGTACTACAAAATAGACTCCCTTTTTCCCCACAAAGCCCATTTTTAAAAATGATTGTTAGAGCCTGCAGGCAAAAAAAAAAAGTATTATTGTTGTTGTTGCTATTATATTATTATCCAGGGTTTGATATGATAAGAATCTCTATAATAATGACAGATGGTGATGATGCAAGTTAATGCAGAGTAGGAAAAATACCATAATATTTTAAATTTTGTATTGAATTGGATCTGTACCCACAAAAGCTTCTGTAAATGGCACATCTCCTACAAAAGCATTATCAGAAGAGGTGCCATCCATAAGCAGCCAAAAATAATACCTGGGAAAGTATCAGTTCAGCACTAGAAACCTTCCCAGTGGGCCTGTTTGTCTACTCAGTGACAAGTAAATCCATCAAATACAGTGCTCCTCAGTGTCTATCACTCGTCGGGGGCGGGGGGGGAGAGCAATAAATAGGCAATGTAAGAAGACATATCTTGAAAAACTGGTGTAATATAACATCTTTTTTGTAAGAAAAGCAAGGAACCCTACATTAATGGGTAAACACTCTAAGATAAATTATAACAGAAATCATTAAATTGTGATTGTGTCTTCAGTCAAATACACAACAGCTATATAAACATCAGACACAACAAATGATACAATTAGTCTATGTTACTCTGTAAATCTTAGCACACCTTTTAGCCCAGTATGGCTAAATGGCCCATCTTTTCCTTGCACCCTGAATTCATTCAGAAAAAAAGTCTTTTGATGGCATATTTAAGACCAACATGCAAGTTCATAAAAAATTATGACTTGAGAAATAAACCATGATTTCATTTGTTCTAAATTGGTGGGATAATTCCAGAATGTAATCCATCTTGGCTGTAATGCTATAATGCTATAAAAACCTACAAGAGTCCATTGAGTTCCCAGTATTTCCAACCATCTACATGAAAGCATGGCAAACTAAATCACAATTTCGGAAGAAATTTCTTAAAGAAATTATCAAATCAGTCCTTGGAATCAATAATCCCAAGGACTGGATTAGGGACCATAAAAATAAAAGTAAATTTAATCCTGACAAATTGGAGATATTCATGGGTGCATTGTCCAAACAGGTAGCACTAAATATCTCCTAAGTGGGATGATATAGTTATTAAAAAAGACATAACATTGAAGTTTATAATTTATAGCTGATCTTGCATGCATGTATGTCCTTAATATCATTGGCAAGTAGGTCAAGGAGCACTCTCTACAACCAAGACTGGTGCAGAAGCTGAAGTTCCTTTTTGACAGACTACCTGGTCATAATTATCTGTGTCAATGGGCATTCTGCCAGGAATTCCTGGATGTGAGAAGTAAAGAAGAAGAAATAATTATTCCTGAAAAAGAAAAATGTAAAAGGATCAACACATCTCTCTTCTATATGTTTCTCTTCTATATTAAAAATTCCAGTGAAACATTAACACAGACAGAAGTGCAGATAAAATGAAATCCATTCAGCATAAGTTTAAGCAGAAGTCTGTTTGAGGATCGTTGTCATAATGACCCAGAAAAGATACTAGTTAGTGTAAACATGGCTGGATGTAGCAACTAATAATCAAATGTTGAGTAAATGATTGTTAAGCATGTTACTATGGAGTTAGACTGTGAACCCAGGTATCATCCTAAAAAGCATCTGAGAATCTTCCAATGCTCATTTTAACCAACGGGGCAGTGATGAAGGTGGGAGGTTTTGGGGAGTGTATAAAACTCTGTACAATTGTTGTCTCATTGCCCTTGTGCCTCTACCCAGAAGAGGACAAGGTGCCGGATTTTGCAAAAGTCAATAAAGCTCTAGAAATTGTTCAAGATGTCTCCTGTTGATTCAAAACTGAGAATTTGTAATCTCACAATTGGCGCCCAAACAGGAATTTGAAGACTCTGCCCTCTGGAGAAGAGGGAGCTGCCTTTAACCTGGAGGCATGCCACACTGAGTTTAGTGTCTGGGACAGGAGGCTCCTTCTTCTCCAGCAGTGGATTACTCTTCACGAAAATGAACCGACAGGGAGATCTGAACAACCAGGGAGGTGTCACCCGAGCAGGATAGTCCAACACTGGCACAGGTGAGTAGGTACTGGGTACTGAGTAGTCTCACTGCTGGTTATTTCTCCTTGAATGAATGATGGTGATATGTTGGTTGCACTAGAGGGAAGTGCTGGTGTTTATTAAGCTTTCCTCTGCATTGTCATACCCAGGTAACTGAATTGGCCAGAGGTTAGACGTGCAGAGTGGTGACTGAGGGTAAAGGTGTTCAAGGAGGGAATAGATGAAGTCTTGGGTGAAATATGGGGGCTCGAAATGGAAAAGTTGTTAAGGATCCTGGGAATAATAAGGAATATTATTCCCCCACATCTCTCCATTAGGGGAATTGTTGAGTTAATGGAGAATAATGGCTTAGTCCATATGCTAAGCAATTGAATAAAATGACAATGATAAATACTGCACAGGGACTTGGCTGGATTTAGTTTAGTAGAACCAAAATTATAGATGGAATAAATGTGGAGAATCTGACCTGTATTGGGTAGATGCCCTAAAAAGGGTGTTTGAGAAAAAAGAAATTGAGAACCCAGTTGTTAGAAGAGATAAAATATCCCCAGGGCAGAGGCAGGTAAAAAGCTAGTCCTTAAATAATTGGAAAGTCCCTTCATATAGTAAGACATTGGGGCTGACCAAAGAAGATTTTGTTAATTTATGCTGTTATGTGTGGTAGGAAGAAGGCATGGAAGAAAAGAAATACTGTAGTGTTATAAAGATCTTGAGAATATAGCCAGAAAGCTCTGAAAGAACTAAGAGTAAGGAAGAAAAGTTTGGTGGTCTTCCCACCTGGGGTTTAGCAGGCCAAAAAATAAAAGCCTGTCTAAATGGGAAGACTCAGATAGTTTTATTTTGATGTGAATGTCCTGTTAAACATTCTTAGATGCACATCTATAATAATAGCATGTAGGAGTGAATGGGATTGAATTGATTGTGATATGTATGGCTCAACCCACTGCTTGAAGAATGACCTACAGGTTGCCCAAGGATAGAAAGAGTGGAGAATTTAAGGGACAAAACCTCCACAGGTCTGGAAATGTTTAATAGTGTGTGAATGTGTCTGTGTATAATCATTTCCAAACCTGCAGGGAGGATGAGACCCTCTAATAATAGTACACAAAAAGTATTTAGAAAATGGAACTCATCAGCTTGTGAAAAAGCTCCCTGGAATAATTATGATAGTTTGCATGCAGAAAGCATGAAATAAAATATTTGTATGTGAAATTGTTTACACAAAAAGTCTGATTGTAGTACAAATGTGAATGTGTGTGAAATGTCCTAAGGCTCATAAGGAGTGATAAGGCAAGTTGATCCTGAGACCTGTGAATGCCCATGTGTTAATTCCCTTAGAGGGATTCCTTTTAGTAAAAAGAAACAGTAAGCTGCAAGGTTTTGTTGTTGTAAAGGCAATAGCAAGGCAAGGAAATGAGGAATGAGAAAGATCCCATGGAGAAGTGGAAGAGAAAGTTGTGGAAAATATCTGTGAGTTAGAGAGAAATACAGAGAGAATTGTTTGTTGAATGGTGCTCAGTGGAGAAAAGAGGTGAGATTTCTGTGTAGTTTAATATTTTTCCTCCCTATATTCCCCCCTCCTGTACTTTTTGACTTGTGAAAGAAGTAGGAAGGGAGGGGGTTGTAGATGGGAAGAGAAAATCATCAGGATAGTAATTAGGGGACTAAGGTATGATGTGACTTGTTTGTAGAAGCCTATAGATGCCGTGGATTGTGAGAAATATGTGAGAAATGTATAGTACATAAAAGAGTTAGTAAACAAGGTCTACTTAGGCAACTTTAGCATAAGACCATTTCAATGCATTCGACTTGATTTTATTAAACTCCCTTAAGTGGAGAGATTTAATTCTTTATTGACGATAAGTGGATATATAGGAAAGGTTAAATTCCTGTATAAAAATTGCTGGAAGAAGAATCATGGGGAACGAAATGGAAAGAGGGTGGCATAGCTAAAGGAGTGTTAGCTCAAACATGGGCTGGAAAGACGGAACCAGTAGCATATTTGTCAGATATGGATCCTGTAGGGTGTGGTTGGGCTTTGTGTGTTCATGCTGTGGCTGCTACCACGTTACTGGTGGAGGAAATTAACTTTTGGGTGGTGAGCTGTCCTCATCAGGTAAGAACAATCCTGATGCAGAAAGCTCACAAGTGACTCATAAATTCTGGGCTATGGAAATATGAGGAATTTTGTTATCTCTTGAACTTAGTTTTCTAGACTGATAGGAATTTGAATCCTGCTGGATTCCTGTCAAGGGGGAAGAGGAAGGAATGGGAAAATGTAGAACATGTTGTGTAAGAGAGGAATTGGATGAAAGCCCCAGAGAAGGTGGCATTACCTTATTTATTGATGAATAGAAAAAGTAGAAAATGAGTAGAAAAAGGAAAAGAAGGAATGGGTATACAGTGGTTAATGATTAATGGAGACACTGCTGAAGTTCTGGAGGTAGTTAACCATTAATCACTTGTGAAGATATTCCCCTTACTTAACAAATGAAATTGGAAATGTTTATATTGATGTAAAATATGCTTATGGGATTTTACAAACCTTTGGTAAGATATGGATGGAGAGAGAACTGACAACCAATAAAGGGAAAGAAGTAAAATAAAACAAGAAGTTGTACATATAGAGTATTATGTAGAAAGGGAGTCTCGAAAGAGAGGAAATAGATTGGTGGATGAGACTGCAAAGGAAACTGCATGACTGGGGGTTGATGGTTTTAATCTCTACTCTGGAATGTAATGTGAAACCCGAGTTCACGAATGATGAGGAGAAACAAATGATAGAAGAAGGGACAGAGAAGGTTGAGAGAAAATGGAAAAGAAAGGAGTAAATATTAAATTGTAAATAAGCCAGTTATGAAACATGTAATAGAAAGAGTGCATGAGGGAACACAAGTATTAATAGATTTTGTAAAAAGGAAATATATTTGCAGAGGAATGTATATGATAGCAATGCAAGTGGGAAGGAGGTGTATGCATTGTGTGAAAGTAAATAAAAAGGTTATGAGTCAGCAGATAGCAGGAGGAAGGACCTTGGTCACCTGGCCATTTCAGCTAATACAAGTGGATTACACTGAGATGCCAGTAGTGGGTACGTTAAAGTTTTTGCTAGTGATAGTAGACCATTTAACTGGATAGGTTGAAGCATTTTCATGTGCAAGAGCAAATACTCAGGTGACAATAAAGATAATATTGGAATAGATAATACTTAGATACAACCAAGACTCTACAACCAAGACTGGTGCAGAAGCTGAAGTTCCTTTTTGACAGACTACCTGATCATAATTATCTGTGTCAATGGGAATTCTGCCAGGAATTCCTGGATGTGAGAAGTAAAAAAGAAGAAATAATTATTCCTGTAAAAGAAAAATGTAAAAGGATCAACATATTTCTCTTCTATATGTTTTTCTATATAACCTTAAAAACCCCAGTGAAACATTAACACAGACAGAAGTGCAGACAAAATGAAATCCATTCATCATAAGCTTAAGCAGACATCTATTTGAGGATAGTTGTCATGATGACCCAGAAAAGATACTAGTTAGTGTAAACATGGCCAGATGTAGCAACTAATAAACAAATGTTAAGTAAATGATTGTTAAGCGTGTTACTATGGCGTTAGACTGTAAATCCAGGCATCATCCTAAAAAGCATCTGAGAATCTTCCGATGCTCATTTTAACCAATGGGGCAGTGATGACGGTGGGAGGTTTTGGGGTCTTGAGTGTATAAAACTCTGTACAATTGTTGTCTCATTGCCCTTGTGCCTCTACCCAGAAGAGGACAAGGTGCCGGATTTTGCAAAAGTCAATAAAGCTCTAGAAATTGTTCAAGGTGTCTCCTGTTGATTCAAAACTGAGAATTTGTAATCTCACACTGGAGTTATCTCAGCAAGTTGTTGGACATCTAATTGGCTGGTGTTTCATAGGATATGGTCAATGATATTCTGAAATTAATCAGCAATTTTGGTATGGATTTTGCAAAGGACAGCAGACATGATGGCTGGAAAATGTGGCCCATCTACCCATTACATTTGCAGCTAAACATTTACTCTAGGTGCCAGAGATACAGATGCTGGGAACAAGAAATTATTTTATTATACTGTTAAATGATGACATTCTCTTTGCAGATGGAATAAGTTGGCCCCCCTAGCTTTTAGTTGTCAAGACTTGTATATTTAACTTTTATGTTTAGTCTATGATGAATTACTCTTTTCCTGTTTTATTGTTTTCTTTTAATCCTCTGAATTCTTTTGATGAATGCTTCAATGTTCCACAATGCAGTTAAATTTTATTGTATTTGATGTGTAATTATAATTTTAAAAGTAAGTAACTAGGAATACTTGTTAAATTGAAAGATGGGGTTTAATGTCTTTTTAAAATAAAATATACCTGGATTGAAAAACTGCTATTCCAAAGCAGCATTGATTTCAAGCTATTATATTTATAACTGTAATTCACTCAGAAGAATTTCTGTTGCCCAGAAATATAAAATAGAATAGATTAGATTAGATATGTTTTATTGTAACTTTTAGGGAAAAAAATCTTTTTAAAAAGCAGCCACTGCATTGCAGTACCTTGGACATTTCCCCCGTGCTGTTATGTACACATACAAATGTCTCATGGAATTATAAATACAAAATATTATTTGAGATAAGCAGAAATCTATAGATCAAACTGCTGGAGTTCTGCTTTCTGCTTTCTTTTGGTGAAAGTAAAATAATATTTATTCTACCAAATGGTCAGATAAAAAATCAGCACATTAAATTATTTCATTCCATTTCATGCCTCACTGCAGTTCTGTGTCCCAGGGGTCAAAATCTACACAGAGTCCACAGTCCTTCTTGCCTTCCTCATAAATGAGGTGAACTTATTTTCTGAAAACTGGCTTACTTTTAACAAAAATATCTAAAAACCACTGTTAATGTTGGGTAGAACTGTACACTGTGCCCGACGTGAAAGAATTAAAACATCTATCTCTCTTTCGTTTCCCCACATACAAATCTATTTTCACATGGA